CCGAGCGGCGAGTTTCTTCGCATCGATCCATCTTTGCAGGGCTCGGTGCTTGCCTGTGGTGTTTGGACGAGGAGGGTGCAGCACTCCCCCCCCGCGTCGCCCGCGGTTATCTCCCTTCTCCCGCGAACGGTGCTTACTCGCGTGGTTTTTACGAATCTCTCTGCTCCTCCAGCTTCGTGGGCCACGTTTTCCGCGACGGTGGTTACCAGGTGCAGTTTGCCGCTTTGCATTGCTGCCGCGGGGACAAGGTCCACATACACCTCTCGCCACTACCACCGTCTGTGCATCCTCACCGCCACGCTGAGCCAGCGCGGCGGTGAGTTGCACCTTGGGACACCACCCACCTACTATCTGTTGTGGCCTGGTTCGCCCGCGAGGGACTCACAAGGTCGATTTCGGCCCCGGCCGGGGAGCAGGCCGGGGAGGGGAGGAGGTCGAGTGTTGTGTCCTTCCTTGTTTTGTGAAGTGCCTGTGCACCTCTCCTATGTAACCCAAAGCAAACGGGGACTCAAGACGGCTTGCTCACAATTCAGATGACGAGAACTGCATCGGAGAGCGATCGGCACATGGTCCGCCCCAAATGGTTCTGTACCATCTGCTATCCCAGTTAAAAGTTTTTTGCTCACTTGATTCACCCCACTTAGAGCTTGTTTCGCCCCTGAATGGATTTGATCTGACCCTGGATGTCGAGTTGACCGAACGTTTCTTTTCATCCCAAATGTGAAGGTCAGGATATGGAGATTCAGGATGCACAGATACACGTACATAAAGAGTAGGATCTGAGGGAATAAGTGATAATAGATTACTGTTCTCCGAGGGTCCCCAACTCTTATGACCCCCAACGGCTGCGAAGAGTTGATGGATCTTTAGGAAAATGGGAAAAGAAGTCCACGAAGGCTCGTCCACTCTCCGCACCACCCTAGCTTGACTGAGTTCGCTCGGTCACGCTTGGCATTGCTCGCCACATTGCACCAAAGGAAATAGCCAACCTCCGGTGGCAGGACATAGCAACCACAACCCCGGACTCTCCGCTCACCCAGAGTAGAGGGCATCCATACAAACGCTCTCTGGGATGGGTCTACCTACAATGTTAGCATCGCGAGGGCCATCTGCGTCGCTTGACCGCCCCCGTCCCCCGATAATCTGGGTGCCAAGGGGAGTAAGTTTGGGAGATGTGAACTCCTGTACAGTAGTAGACTACCAAAATTAACTTTCAGATCTTCATGCTGTCGGTACATTAGCCTACACGTATATAAGTCACGTCTCCCCGACACCTATCGCTTCCCTCGTTCTACGGTCGCCTTCGGAGGACATGAAAATTCCACAACCCTTAGCCGAACCTGACAACCCTTCGCACCTCACGGACTATTGAACCTGTATTTACCCCATGTTGCCTACATTTTTGCAGTATAGACGTAGTCTTTTGAGGCCCAAGTCCTTCGTTGCACGGCGTGCAGAACATACAGCAATGTATGTGGTAGTCTACATCGGTGCTCAACGACCCACGACGTACGTCACAAACGAAAAAAAAATCTGACAACATTGATGACGAGCTCTCACTTTGTATTTAAATTTTATGTTTCTTATACAATCAATTGTAGGCATGTATTCTGCCGATGCTGCATGGCGTGGAGAATACTTTGCAGTTCTTCCATGGTACTGCTGTACACTGCTGTACACTGCTCTGTACACATGCCACACTGAGTGCCCGCGTGCACACGGTCCCCACCGCGTGATCACATGCCGCACATACCTGGATATAGGGCCGACTTGGAGCTCGGAGTAGACATATCATCGGTCCCGCCGGCAGATTCTTCGAGGTTTTGGCTCTCACCACTCATCAGGCGGAGCGCTTCCTTGTCCCGCGCATGGGAACGGCGAAACGCGTCAGTGCGATAGTCCATCTCTCCTCACCCTATCAGCAGAGGCAGCAGGTGTGTTACTGCTGTCGCGTAGTGCGCTCCACTTGTCAATCCTCTACCCGCTCTGCTGGTTGCAACACTTGACGATGTACATAATGTTAAGACAAGCGCACTGAGAGGCAGGAGGCACAGGGTTGTGACGTCGCGACTCGATCATAGACAAGTTCGACTGAATGTTGTCGTTGATGACCATCCCTTCGCAATGATGAAGTGTCGTTTCAAATATATAAAACTGAGTGACGCCAACTGTGTGGTATGGAAAACCTTGTTTGCCTCACGTGCTGCCTGGAGGTGTGGGCTGCTCCACGCTCTTGTCCCCGTGCTCTGCCTCCTTCGTGCTCGGTCGGAAAGCATGGCCCGCAAGAAAACTGGCAGCGTCGAAGAAGATGAAGGAGCTGCGTTGGAGGAGCGGCGGCGCGTGCTCTTCCACGCTAGTTCTTTGAATCGCTCCGACATTATCAAGAAGGTGGTATCAGCAGCAGCATCAAACAACGATACTACCGTTGGTGCCGTTGCTCCTGGTTCATCTTCGAGCACCAGCGGAGACTGCGACGTCGAGCGCGAGGTGCTAGATCATGTGGATGAAAATGGGTTGACTGCCCTCCACCACGCCGTGAAGAAGTCCTCACTGGATGTAAGGAATACAAGTATTTACGGTCGCACGCGTTCCTTGTCCGTCCGGCAAGTCCGCAGCGTATCGCACTTTGTGGGGTTCAGGGTTGTCGGGCGGTATAGGGTAGGCTCGGTGTGCCGTCCCCGCACAACGGCAGTAGCGGGCATGAGCTATTTGGAACGCCCTGATCACAACATGGTTGCACACGTCGCCTTCCTCAATTCTAGTGTCCACGCAGCGGGCACACGGCGCGGAGCAGTATGCCAGCTGTTGGGCTCTGATGATGCTGTTTGTTGCGGTAACCCACCACCTCTTGCTACCTACCGATCGCGACGTAATCGACGAAAGATCACGGAGGGAAGGTGTTGCCGGTGCAAGAATTGCACAACCCAGTTGACCATGCAGTCTACTTTTTCCTTCGACAGCAGGCCATCCATCTATCGCCCGCCGCAGCATCTCCCCCCCCACAGACTTGCTACTTTCTCAACTTGAGGGTAACCGCCTGACACGCTGTAGGCGTGGGATGACACGTAGCGACAAGAAGCTCGGCTGTGTGCTCCATTGCAACGCCCTCATGTCATGTCGCTTTGCATGCCCCTCCCCGCTCTGGTACAACGCTGGCCTGCTCCGCGAAACTCTACCCCCACTCGTGCCTATATCACACGAATGAGGAGGTAGTCACAGTCAACACTCGACGATACCGCCCACCTCGCTCGCCCTACTTGTCCCCCGCCGCGTCCCCCGCCACGGTACTTGCGTAACCCCTTTCATTTTTCTCTTTTTCTTTTTCAGGCCATTCGCGTCCTGTTGCGTCTTGGTGTGGACGTTACCGCAAAGGGAGGGGCACAAAGCCCCTACCCGAACCTCACCGCATATCAGGTGCGTGTGTCGGCGGGAACGTGCTTCATGTGGTTGCCACTGCCGTTCGCTTTATTGTTGTCATCTACAATATTGAAGCCGACACTGAACCGCTAGACTCGTCAGCGCTGAATAGTCCAATGGTCAACGCAATGGTCAACGGTGACTTATCTAATGGTTTGATTTCAGCTTCTACTTCTCTGTTTGTGTTAATGTTGACGATCACAATGTTGATGGTGATATGGCGGTGTTCCTCTTGGTGCGCAGGTGGCTCTGTCAGGCGGGTGCAAGGGCAACCCGGAGGAGATAAAGCAGATTTTTCTCACGGAGGCGGTGCAGGTGAACGGGAGAAGTTACACCCCTCTTGGCTTGGTCAATTGAAGCAGTGATACCTGTTTACTCTGTCTTAGTCTGTGTGCGGTACAGTTTCCGACCACGTTTGCCCGCGGTCAAGTCTTCTTTTCCCCCTTGCCTTGGTAGATACTTCTGTTACTGGTCAGGTGCGTTTTGCCTCCTCCTCCTCCTTCTCCTCCTCCTCTTGACATGTACTGGCCGGTCTTGACTTAAATTAGGCGTGGCTTGACTACGTACCTTTCCCACGCACATGTGGTTCAGAACCCCTTTCTTTGTACGGTGGGCCCGGTCTACCTCCAACGGTATCATACACCAGTAAAGCGCCCCCCC